TTACAAACTTTCATAAAACCTTTCCCTATAATACTCCTTTAGTTCAACAATTTCCATTCACAAAATAAGTACCTCTAAATTTTAAAAACTAGATGGGCCATTCCCCAGAGGGGTTAACATAGAACACATAGTCAGTACAAATTCAGAGAACACTTAGTTTAAATCCACAAATACTTCACGTTACACATAATAAATTCCTAAATTACGAAGTTCATCTAAGAATGAATTCAGACTAAATAACCACCTTGCACACTGCTCCTTCGCTTTAACTGTGACCCGATTTGTCATAAACATAGGCAACACACAACACAGAGAGTAAGACATTTGAATATTATAGAAATTTGTAATCTAAATCTATGCACAATTAAAGACAATATAAATATTAAGATGTAAATGCTATAATTAAACAGTTATGTCAACCAAGGCATACCACCTCGATTTTCATTACATTTTACCACCTTACACTTGATCAATATATTCATTTCCGATTATTCCCATATAGTACCTTTGATACTTCATTTCTCACACTTTACTATACCTTACTTCATACCACGCACAAGAACACCTCATTATCCAGGTATCATACAATTCCCTAAAAATATCAAAACGTCGTATTAAATATTCCAACGCCACATAAGACAATACAATACCACATAGGGCAAGTCAATCATTGCCACATAGGCTATACAATACCACATAGGGCAAGTCAATCATTGCCATATAGGCTATACAATACCACATATGGCAAGTTAGTCATTGTTGTTAGGCTATACAATATCACATAGGTCAACTCAATCATTACCGTTAGGCTATACAATACCACATAGGGCAAGTCAATCATTGTCGTTAGGCTATACAATACGGCATAGGGCAAGTCAGTCATTGCCGTTAGTTTATACAATACCACATCAGGTACACTCCTAAATCACTCTTCACATAAATCAAAGTCAAGTTGGTGGGTCCTTGACACAGGAGCAACAAACCATGTATGTCACTCTCTTTCTCTATTTCAAACTTACAAGAGAAACAACCCTCTTCTAATTGCCTTAACCAATGGCACACAAGTCACTGCTTGCCATTCAGGAACAATTGTGTTCTCTGATGTATTTGATCTAACTGATGTTTTATATGTGCCGGTTTTCAACTTCAATCTGATTTCTATTTCAAAACTCACTGCCCCCTAGCTTGCACCCTATCTTTCTCATCCAAACATTGTCAAATTCAGGACCCACTCTCCTTGAAGATGATTGGTGCAGCTGATAAAAGGGGAGGATTATATGTTCTAACTCATTTCAACAAAAAATACAGTGAACCACCACATCATGTGAACCTATATACAAGCTATGATGATTATAATATGTGGCATTCTAGATTAGGCCACTTGTCTCATAAGAAAATGACTACTATGCAAAGTGTTTACCTTTTTATTAAATGCAATAAAATTTTGGATCTTTGTGAGATATGCTTTTGGCCAAGCATAAGAGACTTCCTTATTTTGATAGCACAACTAAATATGATGCCATCTTTGATTTGACCCACATGGACATATGGGTCCAGTTTCTACACCTTCAACACAAGGACACAAATATTTTTTAACAATTGTTGGGGATAAATCCAGGTTCACCTGGATTTATCTAATGAAACAAAAATGTGAAACTACCCCACTTATTAAAGCTTTTGTGTCTTATGTGCATACTCAACTTCACAAACAAATCAAATCTATTAGAAGTGATAATGGAAAAGAGTTCTTAATGAGCACTTTTTACATGGAAAATGGCATAACACATCAAACTTCATGTGTTGAGACACTCCAACAGAATGGTGTTGTGGAGAGAAAGCACCAACACATTCTTGGCATATATAGAGCTCTAATATTTCAATCTAACTTGCCTTTATGCTTTTGGAATTTTGTTGTTTCTCATTCTGTGCACTTGATTAATAGACAACATGCTGTTATCTTATCTTATAAATCACCATATGAAGAATTATATCATTGTTTGCTTAGCATTAACAACTTGAAAGTTTTTGGTTGCCTTTATTATTCTTCTACCTTAGTCTCTCATATAACTAAATTTGACACTATATCAGGAAAATGTACATTTCTTGGTCTTCCTCATGGAACTAGCTACATCCTTTTGGATTGAAAAACTAGTGAAATTTTCATATCTAGAAATAATGCTTTCTTTGAACATATTTTTCCATTTTCTAGCCACACAAGAGACACTGTCGTGCTAAATCCTGATTGTACACCTGTTCTACACATGACACAAATGGATTTTTTTACACACTCTTTGCCACACTCAACCAGCTCCCCAAACAATCACTCATCTGCTACTGAACCAAAAACTAGTGCCCCACAACAACAACTTGATTTAAATAATCCTACACCTATAAGACAATCTCAGAGAATTCGAAATCCACCCACCTTCCTAAGAGACTACCACTGCACACTCCTACATGAATCAACCCCACTTCAAACCCATGTCACTCACCCCATCAGGAACACTCTAACCTACAAAAACTTATCCAACATCCATAAACACTTTTCTCTATCCATCACTACCAATCACACACCAACAACCTTCTCTGAAGCTATTCAATCTGAACATTGGAAGCGGTCAATCAATGATGAATTGAATGCATTAGCCAACAATCACACTTGGACTTTGACCAAATTCCCCACTCACAAGAAAGCCATAGAATGCAAGTGGATTTTTAAAATTAAACATCATAGAGATGGAACCATAGAAAAGTATAAAGCAAGGTTAGTTGCTAAGGGTTTTACTCAAACCGAAGGCATAGACTACATGAATACTTTCAGGCCAGTAGTTAAAATGACAACCATAAGAGTCATATTATGTCTTGCTAGTCTCAATAATTTGCATCTACAACAGTTGGACATTAATACAGCTTTCCTTCATGGATATCTCAAGGAAACTATGTACAAGAAGACTCCACCAGGTTTACTCAACAAGTATCCTCCAATAGTTTATAAGTTGAAAAAGTCTATTTATGGCCTTAAACAAGCCAGTAGACAATGGCATGCTAAACTCACCTTTACTCTTCTAGAACTTGGTTACATTAAATCTTCTTCCGATCATTCACTTTTTATCCATAACACTAACTCTGGCTTCATAGCAATTCTAGTATATGTCGATGATTTGATTTTGGCAGGCAACAACACTGATCAAATCATACACACCAAAGCCATCCTTCATTCAAAGTTCAGCATCATGGACCTTGGTGACTTAAAGTTTTTCCTAGGCATGGAAGCTGCTAGATCCAGCAAAGGAATTGCCCTCTATCAACGAAAGTACACACTTGAGCTACTAGAAGAAATTGGTTTTCTTGGAGCAAAACCTGTTTCTACACCCATGACGTATAATGTGACTATTCATTCCAAATTAGGCTCCCCTTTAAAGGATATCACTACCTACAGAAGACTCATGGGTAAACTTCTCTATCTCACTCACACTCGTCCATAAATCTCCTTTGTCGTGGGATGCCTAAGCCAATATCTTGTTGCTCCCACTGATCAAAACTACGAAGCTGCCACTCAAATACTTAGATACTTGAAATCATCTCCAGGCCAAGGAATCTTCTTCCCAAGCTACAACACAACCACTATTCAAGGATACTCTGATTCAGATTGGGCTACATGTTTTGACACTCGTAGATCCATCACAGGATGGTGCTTTTTCATCGGTCCAGCCCTTGTTTCTTAGAAAAGCAAGAAACAAAACATGGTTTCTCATTCCTCTTCAGAAGCAGAGTACAGGGCTCTTGCCATGGCAACTTGCGAGGCACAATGGCTTCTTTTTCTCTTCAGAGACTTAGGAATTTCTCACAACAAACCTGTAACCATCTTCTGTGATAACAACTCAGCTTTACATTGCGGCAAATCCAGTATTTCACGAAAGAACTAAACACATTGACATAGATTGTCATGTGGTTCGTGAAAGGCTAGAAAATAACACTATTCATCTTCATCCCATCCACACTTCACTTCAACTTGTTGATATTTTTACAAAATCTTTGTCTCCTTCACCATTTCGTCACATTCTGTTCAAACTTTGCATTCTCGACCTTCACTTGCCAAGTTTGAGGGAGGGTGTTAAAACTACAACCCTTTTGGATAGCCCAAATTTAAGCCCATACAAGTTGGAACCACTAAAATCACAAAATCAAACTCTTTCTATTTTTAGACATTTTTTCATAGTTCTGTTTTTTTTTTCTATTAAATTAGTTTAGTTTCTTTTTTTGGCAATTCTTTGGATTTCTTTTTCTTTGAATCTTTTATGTTAGATTCTCAGTTCTATTATAAATAGCACCTCCTATTGTGCCTAGTAAATCAACACAGAGAAGAAGTAATAAAAAGAATTCTTTCGAGGAAGTTCATTTCAATCTCTACCATTTTCGTTTTGCTTCAAGCTTTTGTGCTTACTTTTGCTCTACATTGATGTCTTCACTTGTTGTTCAACATTACCATGGATGCTTGGTTTTCACAATATGTAATTGTTTTTGTATGACTATCTTCCTTCTATAGACAATTTTCAATGTTTTCAAGGATGTTACAACGATTTTCAAAAAATGTTTGTTTATAGTAAGAATCCAATACATGAGAGCCTGTGAGTCTTAATACCGTGAAGAATGTAATGTTAAAATTCACTGTATCTTCAGCCATGCTTGGTTTCACATTAAATGTGTTAGATCCTTTGAAACATTCCTCTTCTTTGATATATCTAGGTCTTTTCTCTTTGATTATAATGTCAAGCCTAAAATAAAGACTCCATGCATTGTTCAGATGAGTTTTTGATTACTTTGTTGTGCATAAATTTGTGTTTGTCCTCTGCACGTTGTTTAGAGAATAAAACATTTTTCTTTCCAAAAATACAAAATTTCTCTTACCAAGAAACAAACTATTTAATAATCAAAAGATTTATCATTCATAATAAATGACCATAGCAATTATTTGAATTAAGTTCAAATGATTGGATGATGTAAGTACTCAATTTTGTCCGCCCCAAAATATTATAAGGAAATTCAAAATTGTCTATTTATAATGTCTAAAATAATGTTTTAAATAAACAATATTTGATACCAAAAAGAGCATGATACATTCACTTAAAAGGAAACCAAATCCCCCTATAACTTCTTCAATGGGAAGATCCTCCCAAATTATAAACCTCCACACTCAATCCCTCAAAAGGAAAAGAAATCAAATCAGCACCAAGGATTCCAAAAAAATAGCACTAAATAAATACATTTAATGCAAGGAATGAACACTCATCAATCGACATATTTCCAAAAAAGATGACACCAAAGATATGCAGATTAAGGATCTTGATAAATTAAGCATAATTAGGCAGCAATAATGACTAGCTTTAAAGTGATAATCATCAATTATAAATAGAGCATCAAATATTAGTCTCAATAAGACAACTAGAGAATCAGAAAGAAAACTAAGGCAATAAAGAACATTAAAACCATGATTAGAAATAAGTATATATCAATATAAAAAAGGAATAATCAAATAGGCAATGAATGAGAAGATACAAATTAGAAATTCAAGAGGTTCTCAGGAATCTCAAGGCAGACAGCTGGTTCAAAAAGGACACACATAAAATACCTACGCACACGCAATAAGCAACAGTTCAGAAAACCAAAGAGGAAGGCAATAGGCTATTGTTTCTGTTTTTGGAGAAAAAGTTCCAAAATATACACATTGAAAATATCACAGACCCCCAAACACAGTCACCAACAATCCGGAAAGAAAAATTAGAAAGGAGAGAATAACTCATTTACTCACACACAAGTAAGCTACCACATACACAACATCTTCTTATCACAATCGTCATCAGACTAAGATCAAACCGGGAATCAAGAAAGCATTGACACTCAAAGCAAAGGATCAAGGGCACATTCAGGTAAGATATTTTTCCAACCCAATAAACAGCAATATAGTTTTACACCACGAATAAACAAACATACATATTCAGTGAGCATACCGCTTCATTCAAATTCCGTGTGCTAAATATATATGTTAGTGGGTTTCATAACAATGTACACTAGAATTTGGCTAAAATGAAAATAAGTATGCATTTTGATAATCCTAAAACTAGTTAATTGTGATTTATCATCACAAAAACAATTTTCATAAGCGATTTACTAACCAAATTTGTAAAAGATCAACAATTAAAACAAAAAAGGGGTATAGTTCCTTACCAAGGTTTATTGCCTCCATCGGTTCTAGAACTGTGGTCTTCGACCATTAACGGTCCCAAACCGTGCCATCATTGGGGTTTCATGAGCGGCTTCTTTGCATCCCCCATTTCTTCAAAGAAGGTTACCTCGAACCAAGGTGAACGAAGACTCTACCGAATCGCCGCCGCTTCCTTTGCCACTGTGGAGTCATTGCCGCTGCTAGAAGAAAGAGGACATGAAGGAAGACTCGTCGTTGGCTCATCGTGGGAATGAAAGGAGCATAGCCATCGCCGGAAGAGAGAATCCCTCATTTTCCCTCATCTTCTCACTTTCCCTTCTTCTCACTTCCTTTCCCCAATCTCACCCAAAATCCCCCCAAAGCCAAAAAAACCTAAAGAACCCGACCTTTCCCCCTTTCTCAACCAGATTGTTGGGCATTTTGGGCCCTTGGCCCATAATGTTTTTTATTTTCTTTTTTATATATATTTTACTCATTTATTTATTTATTTTCCTTTGCTAATTAATCTTTTATTGTAAGTAATAACAATATTTAACTAGATCTTCTATTGGATTTATATAAGTGTAATTTAACAATATTTTTTAATTATTTCCAAAATCTCTTTAAAAAAAATGTGATGTAATGCAGACATTAGTTTCTAGTGCTTCATCTATCTTAAAGATAAACAAATTTCAATGATATTTTTTATTTCCAAATCTCTTTAACATATGATGTAGTGCGGACATTATTTTCTTATACTCCTTCTATCTTAAAAATGAATGAATTTCAACGATATTTTTATTTATTTCTAAAATCTCTTTAAATATTTGATGTGGTGCGGACATTAGTTTATGCTGCTTCATCTATCTGAAATATGAATAAATTTCAATTATATTTTAATTATTTTAAAATCTCCTTGAGATTTAATGTGATGCGAATATTAGTTTTTGCTGCTTCATCTTGTTTCAAAGTTAATAAAATTCTATCGAAATTTCAAATCAACTAAACCAACTTCAATTAATCTTCGAACCAGAACTAAGTAATTTTGATTTTCTATTGCACCTAGGGATACAAAAATAAAACATTTTGTTTCAATCATTAAATGTTTAAATAAATTATTAAGGGTACAAAAGTCTATACTATCAACGAGGGTACCGTTTTAATATGGGCAGATGAGGTGCTAATACCTTCCTCAATCCATATCTTTGATTAAAAAGACCATTTTATCCAATTTGTGTTCAAATTGAACTTTCCATGTTTGAACCGAAAAAAACATGACTCCTAAAGAAGTAGCGTAGCTGAAAATTGAGGCGAGACAGATGAGTAAAGCTTTGGATCCTACATTAAAATGATACAATTAATACCATTGAATACTGAGGTCATTGGAAGAAGTTGCCACTTTGATATGTTTTGTCTTTGATGCACATAACTTGAATTTGTACGCACATACCATTGGATACAATAACTCGTTTAGACGAGATTAGTCAATAAACGTGTTTGACTTAACATCTTAAAACCAGACAAGGGAATATGTGATCATCCTTGTCTTCCTAAGGTTAAACCAGAAAAGAGAGGATGATGTTTTGAATTTCCAAACCTTTGTTTTATTCAGTTGAGGAAATCCCTATAAGTTGGGATAATCTGAGTGGTTTATAAGCGTTTCAGTTTTTTGACATAATATTTTGTAGTTTAAGGTGTTTCAAAGTTTTGAGATAGTATTTTGTGGTGCTTCTTGTTAATCAAACTATAAGATTTGATTAGCTTTGTGAGAAGGTTGAAGTGGAGATTTTAGAGGATATAATGGTGTTTGTTTTTAGCACGGTTGTTGTTGGTCTTTGCCCCATCATCGAAGTTAGCTCATTTTTTTATGGTTACCCATGTGGTGGGTCCCCATACTCAGCGCTAATGGCCTTTGGATTGTGGAGGAAGGGTTACATTATAATATTCTAGTTTGGTTGAACCAAACTAAGTCTAGTCTTCAAATGGTTGCAATGTTTGAACCTAGCTGAGGACCAGCCTTGAACCACCTATGATGGGTAATTGAATAAAGGTTGTGAGGCTCATGTCAACATTTGTATGGGTCAATATATAGAGAGAGTGGGTATAAAGAGCAGTCAAAGCTAAGATGAATATCAATATAATGTACTTCATGTTTAAATGACATCCTCTATTTATACTTTGTGAGATGAGCTTGCTTTCCTCTAAAGGGAAATCCACTGATGTCATGTTAGAAGTTATGTTTTTGTCTTGTTAATTAGCCATTAAGACAACCTTGTATCTAGGGGTGAGCGTGGGTCGGGTTGAGACGTGATAAAATTTATCCTTACTCGACCCTAAATGTTGTTTGGATCATTTTTTTAAATCTGGACCCGACCATAGACCCGGAATTAACCCAACCCTAAATATTCACAGGGCCAACCTTTAAACCTGAACTCTGACCCTAGACCCGATTAAACATAATGTATACTCATTTTACATAAAGTCTTCTAAATATTATTTATTATTGTGAATATGTAATTTGACATATAAAATAATATATGTGTATATATTATTAAACATGCATATATGATGAAAAATTAGAGAATCAATGATATTTTCGACAAAAAAGTATCATTACCCTGTATATATTTGAACATAGACACATACAAACATCATGACTGAGTGACCATGGGACGGGACGGGTCGGGACGGGTCAGAATGGGTCATGTTTGGTCCATACATGACCCTAAATATTGACTAGGTCTAATTTTTGAACCCATACTTGGCCCTAGGCCCGATGAGACCCGTCCCTATTCAGATTCATTCATGATCGGGCCATATTGAGTTAGCAGATAGGGTCGGGTCCTGCTCACCCCTACTTGTATCTGAGCCTATGAAGACTCTAAGAGTATTTTCCCTTATAAGTTACCTTTTAGAGTGGATCCAAGACCTTATTGGACCTCGATGGGCTAAATCAAATCTTGCCGGCCCCTCTAAATTCCCGCTTCTAGTGTTGGTTGGCCCATTTGCATTTTGGCATGGTAATGGCCGGACTAATCCACTTAAATCATGTGGGTATGAAGTAGAAACAACACCATTATTGATTTTAAAATTATTAAATCACAATACCTATTTTAAATCACATTTATAATTACTTTGTTGCAATTAGATAAAATTATGAGAGAAAAGAATTGTTATATTATTGTGGAGACTAAAAAATAATATCATTGTGACATATATAAGACTTCCAAATCATATATACATATATTCTTATATATTCTTATTGCTTATTGATTGAGAAATCATTGCAAAATAATTGAAATCTTAGGATGTACTCAAGATCATTCATCTCGAACCGCATGTACAATAATTTCTCCTATGGGAGACTTCTAAATCATATATACATATATTCTTATTGCTTATTGATTAAGAAATCATTGCAAAAATACTGAAATCTTAGAATGTGTTCAATATCATTCATCTCGAACCGCATGTACAATAATTTCTCCTATGCCAGAAATATCATCTACACATATTATAACAATAACAAATTAAAACCTAAAAATACACATAAAAGCCATATGTCATAACATTCTTCTTTATAAGGTTATGAATGAGTTGTGTTTAGTTTAGAGGTGCCTTGTAACACACCCATATGTGCAATTTAAGTCACCTAAGTTTTTTGGACTTTGGCTTAGATTGATTTTTGGTAACCATCAGTTTTCTAAAAATACCACAAAACCAATGGGTACCCTTTATAGAAGATGGACCCTTTGATAGTGATGTAATCTTGGGCATTCCTTGTGCTTCTGATTTGCTGCGATCAATTATGGGAACTGATCTAACACTTTGTGACTCCCTTACTTCTATAATTTCATTGCTTCCATTATCAACTCCTTGGTTTTGATTCTCCACATTGACACTAAAGATGATATTGTCATTCCACACCAACCCGGAAGACCCGTATCTCCTGAATGAAATTATCGACCTACTCAACTCAGCCATTTTTCTATGTTTTTTTGTACTACCGAGGTTATTATCATTTTATCTGATATAAGTATGTATTGAAGGACAACAATAAAATCCCAATTCAAGCATTTATATGATCATGTTAATTACGTAAGAATCTTATTGAAAGAATTTGTTTAAACAATTGTTAAAAGTTTAACAATATTTGACTGGATTTTCAAGGGAAAAGAATAAACAGATATTGGTGAATCCAAGAAGATTTAGTTAAATGAACAGAATTGATTAGAAGATGTTTTTTTTAATGAAGACAATATTGGTTTAGTCTCTAAGCAATGTTTTATTATTTTAATAATTTGTGAAGTAAAAATATTATTTTTAATACAGAAAAATATATTAATTAAAACACAATTTAAAATCTTCTAACCAATCACCATAACAAATGTCTTATTTAACCATTTTCTACAACAACAAAAAAAAACTAATAATCAGTGAAAAATGTATGCACCCGAGTTTAAAAAATGAATGATATATAATATATTGACTATGTATAATTAAGAAACTATACATACTAAACTTTTAAAATGGGTTGATAGGTGTAAATAGGATATTTTGCTTAATAATTTTCCTGGACTCAAAATATACATATTACTCTGCATGCTGAAATCGTGGCTTATTTAATGTTAATATGTTATAAAGGTTTTGTAACTAAGAGATAAAAAGCGTGGCTTAAAAGTAAATAATTGACCATAGTTTAGTTTCATAACTCCAAACCGTGAACTACTTTATCTATAGCCACGATTTTTAAACGAGCTAGGCGATAATAATTTGGTTAAAGTAAAAAAAATATTGATAAAAACCATGGATTAAACAAACAAAAGTTAAGAAAATCGTGTGCCCACAGTTATTCTTATAATTTTAGTGGAAATGAAAAATATGCATAGAATCTAATGTGAAAAAAGGTGGCTTTTTCCGTGTCTGAATGAAAAGTGTGGTTTAAAGTAAAAAAAAGTTAGTTTATAATAATTCTTTTACATATATAATTTCCAATAATTTTCTATCAATATACGAGTTTATGATGTTGATGTAACTTGCAACAATTCTAAATAGCATGAAAAAGTACTTATTGACTAAGTTACGACCAGATCGCTCTCTTTAAGACATTTCATGGTACTGCCCAAAATGTACAAGCAGACAATCAACCACGTCATCCCTAGGATAAAACAGTTAAGTTCTTATTATCAAATTCTTACTGTAGTGTAAGAACCAATCTTGAATACATCCACAATATGACTACTACTGTCAATTCTCGAAAAACCCACAGTATGGCTACATGTGCCAAGTCTTTTCTCACAATCCCAATGTCAATTCTCGAAATTTCCACAATATGACTGTCTGTGCCAATTCTTAGTGTCACGAAAAGAAAGAGAGAAAATGACGGAAATGTGTCGGCAGAG